TAATTGTTATGTAAGTGCAATAGAAACGAAAATTGATGTGAGGGATAGATAAGAAGAAGATTTTGAGTGCTTACTTACAGCTGTGGACCCTTTGTTGACGAATAATACCTTGGAATGATTGCGTGATTTGCACCTTCTTGTCTGGAACCGCGTTGATAACTATTTTTATACCGTAAATGAATGTTATATTTTTGAATTGTCAATTGTTCCAATAATTATGGATTCTGCATACGTTCCGACTTGAACCACTTAACGTTTTAAATTGATTCACTTAATCTCACTGTTCTTGATGACTCTAAAGTCCGTCGAACAATAAGTGTCACTTTGCATAGATTTGATTTTCTCACGTTAGTGATTTGACGACTTGAATAATAATTTCTGTTTTGCTTTCACTTCACTTGATGCATAAATCTGATTTTAAATAGTTTTAATAATCATTCAACTTGAATTGATTCACTTTCATTACACATTATTTGGAAGACGATTTAAATATTCGAGAAAAATTTGAATTTCCTGAACATGATTTGAATTAACCAGGAATTATTTGAATTATCCGGAACTTAATTGAATAATCCGGACTACATTAGACGTATTCGTTGAAGATTTGAATAATCCAAGAACGATTTGAATTATCCGGCTCGAAGGACCATGTTAAATATGATGAATTGGTGCCATGAATTTTAATTGATGCTTCATAGCACACACCTTTTAAATTAATAAAAAGTGCATTTAATTAGGTTTCGATAAATAAAACAACTCCCAACTTAATATGAAATGAAATATTTAATGTAGTATAAGAATATGTCTTTACATCGGAACGGTTAACAGCAGACTAACGAAAAATGAATTTGATGACTTAAGGTAAGGGTAGGAGATTTTGGAAAAGTGGTGGGGTAAAAAGAGATATCTTTCAGTTAGAGAAAGATAGACATATAATTTATGATTTTAAGGTTTTGGAAAATGCTTCGTCGCGATCTCGGTTTACAACTTAATCCTGGTTGGCAAAAGATCTATTAAGTATATTGCCGTCATACAAATTTGTTTCGTTGATTTTTATTGCAGAAGAAAATGATGTATTTTTTGAGGATTAGCATAAAACTTATCTTTATACAAACTGAATTGATAAACATCTGTTGACAATATGGTCATTTTTAAAAATAAATATTTTACAATTCAAAATTTGGAAAAGATGGATGTTTTGAGAAAAGATTAATTTTACAACTTAGTTTCTGATTATTGTAGAATTTTCATTTAAAGACTGAACATCTGTTAAGAGGTTAGGTGGGTTTCAGAGGCAGGGTGTCTCGCGCTTTTGCCAAATAAAATTCTAGGGCTTTTCCAGGTTATAATTAGTAATTAATATTTTTAAATTTTTGTATTTTCAGGCTTTGCATCCAATTTGGAGGAAGAAAAAAGTCATTTTAGCGTCGATTTATATTACCAGGAAACTAAAAAAAGGCCTTTCTATAATATTTAAATATAAACAATTAGTTTGTAAATATTTTATTATTATTATTATTATTATTATTAAACAAGTTTTATTAATTCCTTATAATTAATTAATTCCTTATTTGTTAATTTTTTGAACTACCATTTGGAGGTTAACAACGATTTTGTTCTTCCTATCGACGCTTACCACCCACCTCTCTCTTTATCAGTAACTAGAGATATTTCGACCAATAATGAAATTGTTATCAGACAACCTCATTGTAAATACGATTTTAAACGCGCTAATTTATCAGACTTACATACTTACCTTTTAAATATTAATTGGTCCACTGTTCTTAATTATCCTAACATCGATGATGCTGTTGCCACTTTTTACGATATTATTTACAATGGGTTTAACTTATATGTCACTGTCAAGTCATTTATGGCAACAGCATATCCTTCGTGGTTTAGCAGAGAGCTTAGAAATTTAGTCTCTCTTAAAAAGGCAGCACATATTACGTATAAGCGCACTAGTTCCACACCAGACTACTTGATTTTTTCTCGTTTGCGTGCTGAGTGTAAGACAAAATCTAAGCAATGTTACAAAAATTACATCGCAAGTGTCGAGAACTCTGTGGTTTCCAACCCAAAATATTTTTGGAAGTTTGTCAATAAATTACGTCGTAATCCTAGAATTCCAAAAGAGGTTTTTCATGATTCTGTTATTGCTAACAATGGCTTAGACTCAGCTAACTGCTTTAAGGATTATTTTAGTTCCGTCTACACTAACTCGACATTAAATGTAACTGCCACGGTTTCAGAATCACAGAATAGTAATTTTGTTAATATTTTTCACATTTCTAAGGAATCTATCTTGATAAAACTAAAACAACTTGACATAAAAAAAGGGTCTGGACCTGATGAGATTCCGCCCTCCATACTGAAGTCCTGTTGCTCCTCTCTTGTCGAGCCTTTATATATTTTGTTTAATCATTCTCTTTCGTGTGGCATTTTTCCTACGGTATGGAAACGAGGGATAGTAGTTCCCGTCCATAAAGATCGCAATAAGAATGACGTCAAAAATTATCGCCCTATTGTTTTATTAAGCACAATCTCTAAAATTTTTGAAAGCTTAATTCACGATGAACTTTACAGGCAAATTGAAGGCTCGATCATGGAGGAGCAGCATGGTTTCACTAAGGGCAGGTCTATTTTGACAAATCTCAGTATCTTTTCTCATTTTATTTCAAGCAATCTCGAATCTGGAACTGTGGTGGATACCATATATACTGATTTCGCCAAAGCATTTGATAAGGTTGACCATGGTATTCTGTTGGCCAAGCTTAAAGCTCTAGGTTTCTCCGATAAATTGTTAGCATGGATCAGTAGTTATCTCACTGATCGAACACTATCTGTGCGTATCGAATATGAATTTTCTGATATATTTTTAGCAACTTCAGGAGTTCCCCAAGGATCAAACTTAGGACCGTTATTTTTTATACTTTTTATTAATAATATCAAAGATGTTTTCAGATTTTCTTCTTTCCTTTTATTTGCCGATGACTTAAAAATTTACAAAACTATTACTAATGATCAGGACTGTTTGGATCTACAATCAGATCTCGATCGTTTGCATTCATGGTCTATTGAAAATAATTTATTGTTTAATATCAAAAAATGTAAAGTAATATCATTTTCTAGATCAAACGACATTCCTGATCGCACTTATAGTATTGGTAACAATAAACTCTCTAGAATATTTATTGTACGTGACCTTGGGGTATTGCTGAACTCCTCTTTTACTTTTAACGATCACATCACATATACTATTAATAAAGCATCTAAAGTGTTGGGATTTGTAATTAGAAACACCTCGCATTTTAAGAATGCTTCAGCTATAAGGCTTTTATTCCTTACGATGGTTAGACCAATAATAGAATTTGCGTCAATAATATGGTGGCCCTATCAGGAATATTTATTGAATGAATTGGAAAAGGTTCAAAATAAGTTTTTGTGTTTTCTTGCGAGTAAGACTGAGGTGCCTCACGACTACTATAGTCACGATTATACAGTTCTTAGGTCACTGTTTAATATTCCGTCTTTACGTCTAAGATTCCTATTTTCGGATCTCCTTTTTGTGTATAAAATTATTAACGGAATTATTAGATGTCCCGATTTATTGTATCTATTTAGATTCTATGTGCCTCAACGATCCCCGAGACATGTTCCTCTATTTAAATTACATTTTGTCAGAACTAATTATTCGAATAATTCGGTGATTAATAGATTGAGTCGTGAGGCAAATCAACATAATAGTAACCTTAATTTTTTCGGTGTTTCAATCAACACCTTCGTCCGAGAGTTACAATACTTGATATACCACGATAATAATAATGCTAGTGCGGCCACACAATAATTACTGTATTTCTTTTTCTGTAATATTCAGTACTCTGTACTAATGGGCAGTGTAATTACTACCCGTCTAAATTGAAATAAATAAATAAATAAATAATAAAAATATTTCAAAGGGATATTTTTAAGAAATTTTAATTACAATATTTCAGAATTAAACTGAGACAAATTTGTCAAAAATTCAATTTAGTACCTATAAGACAAATAAAAATAATTTTTAAAAAAATGTTCAAAATATGATTTATTTAAATTGTTCGAATTCAGAAGTTTAGACAGTGTTTTAAATAATTAAATTTTCAAATAACTTTATTAACAATATTATTCAGAAAAATTTATGTTCAAATAATTGAAATTTGAAAAAGTTTCAGTTAACATTTTTAGAAGTAAATCAATTTTTGGAGATTTCAAGTAAAAATTTTTAGAAATAATTGAATTTCAGGAAATTTTTATAATTGAAACTCACATCAATTTTAATTCATGAATTTTTTTTACATAGGCATTTTATATAATTGCATTTAAAAGGACATTCAATTCAAAAATATTTTAAATATTGGAATTTTTAGAGAACATGATTAAAATTATTAAATATGTAATTAATTTTGCGAAGAATTCTGATCAATATTTTTTTAAATAATTCAATTTTGGACGATTTTAATTTCATTCTAATAAAGTCGTATTTTCTTTAAAAAACATTTTAAAAAAGTCGGAAATGTCTCATTTTATTAAATTATGTTAAAAATAGTCTCATACATTGAAAAGAGTCGAAAAAATCGTGTAATTTGAGGCCTGAATTTTGCATAAGAGTATATTCAAAAAAAGGTTACGAATTTTGTGTTTCTAAACGCGGTGGGAAAAAAAATTCTTACATGAAATATGAAAATTCCAGTACCTGATGCAAAATTTAAGAACTTTTTCAGGTTTTTAAGGTAAAAATAATTCAAGGACTTTTCCAGTTTTTCAAGAAATTCCGAAGGCTGTATCTCTTATAATATTAACTCCAATCGATTTGGAATTGTGGGACAGTATTCTAGCCATATTAAGCTATTTTTTAATAAAATAAAAAAAATAAAAAGTTGAAACCCACCCAACCCCTTAAAATATGAACTAATTGAATTTTCAAATGATTAAAGTTTTATTACTTTAAAATTTATACAATTTTAACAAAATATGTTTCCTCCCTTATTAACTATAATGATTTTTTTTTGTTCTTTATCATTTCTATTTCCTCCATTTGCTCTGCTTCCTCGATATCCTCCACTATTTTTCCCATTTTCCCAATATTTAGGTTTATCTGAAAAGAAGAAAATTTGATTTAATTTGAGTTTTTGAATTTGCAACCAAGTGTGTCTGATATAATAATTTATTTAATTGTTTATCAAGTAAAAATAATTAAAATTTAAAAATTCGTTTTTTCTTTTTATAAATATTTTTTCAGATGATAAAAGAAAAAATTTTTTTAGAATAATGTTTAGTGTGTGAAAGGTGTAGAAGTTTTGGTATATTTTGGAGTATATCGTTCAATTTAAAATTTTTTTATCGCATGTATGACTAACTAAGAAGACTTTGTTAAATGAAATTCAAAAATAAATTTTTATTTTTTTAACTAAAACTTAGAATTTTTACAATGAGAATATATAGCTGAAAAAGTGGGTCTGGAATATTTAAAACGAGAAAATTAACATTTTTTACCAATAGCAAAAAGTAGTGAGAAATGTTAATTTTTAACGTTGAAACATTCTATGGCTCACTTTTTCATCTATATATTCTTCTAGGAAACAACTTAGATTTCGTTAAAAAAATGAAGTGTATCATTCATATAAAAAATTAATATAATATTTTCGACTTTCAGTTTTTGTGGTTAAAAAATTTTTTGTTTAAGAATTCATATTACTAATTGTTAAAAAAAATTACCAAAGATTGGAGAAAATTATTTTATAAACTTTTTTGGAGGTGCCCTCGATCGTCGACATTTTCGATCCTCATTTTTCACAAATTACGCAAGTTTCTTTCTTTAAAAGGTAATATTTGCAGGTTTATTTTTGACTCATATAACAGAAATTCACATGAATTTTTCATTTTTGTCAATTTGGTTAATAATAACAAGCTGTCCCCATTTACCCCAACTGACCCTATATCATCTAAAATAAATTTTGTAAATAAATATTATGGTTCCGAAAATTTCACAAAAAGTCGTTTTTATCCATTTTAAAGTAAAATATCCCTTTCGCGGTAGAAAATACAATTTAGTTAGTAAAATGTTGTTTATAATCTATCTTCACTATTTATTTATTTAATACATATCACCAGTAACTATTACCATAAATAACAAATTACCAGTAGCATAGTTTATTAATTTGAAATATTCTTAGTATATTCTTATCGATTAGGTGCAAAAACATGATTCTTCAGATGAAAAACGTCATGTTTTAAGAAAGAATTGAGAAACCTGTAATTCCAGATAAGGCTTGCAAAATTTGCTAATGCAAAAATGACGTTTATTTTTTTGGATTGTTACACGGAGAGAAATCTGCTGCGATTTTTGCTTGTACAGTCTTTATTAATTTCATAAGTCATTTTTCGATACAATTTTAGCTTAAGACTGGAATAATTTAAATATGAATTCATGTATTTAATGTAATGGAGTGTATCAAACAAAAAACACAAGTCACGGGTGTTAATTTTGCATGAATTTCACATAAAAACTGCAAAGGGGACATGCCATAAAAGTATTAGATCCTCTCTTATAAAATTTGCAAGAATGACATCTGATTTTCAGGTGGAATTTATACAACACAATCTTACCTCCGTATACACACAGCATTTCACACACACAATCATTGTATGCTAGTGATTCCGAGGAACGGAACGCACAATGCGCACGCTCGTGTTTTACTATGCGTTTTTGACCGCGAAATTTAAAATAATTTTATTTAAAAATTTTTTTTTAAATATTTGTTGCCAATAAGTGGTTGTTTATTAAAAAGTAAAATAGAAAAATTTTAAATACTAAAATTTTTAAATATTTATTAGCTAAAATGTTATTTGTTCTTTTAAAAACAGAATGTATTAAAAATAAAAAACAATCAAAAAATTTGAAGAGAAATTATAAAAAATTTAATATTAATTACATTTGTATAAATTTATAATTATATTTATTCATTGTATTTATATATTTGTTATTATATTATGGGTATGAGTATTATTTTTATATTAAATATTAAAATATAATCACCAATATAGTATTAATATTATATATTTACATATTTATTACATTAATTAATAATTTTAATTTAATTAATTAATATATGAAATTAATTAAATATTAATAAAATATTATATATATTCAGAAAATTATCTATGGATAAATTAAATTTTATTTTATTTAATAAATAAATCGAGAATAAAATCGAATTATTTATAATGTATCAGTTAGATTAAAAATAATACCAAGTGAAGTTGAAATCTACAGCATTGATCAACGAAATTTTTTTTTGTTTTTCTATTATTTTTGCAGAGAACCAACCATTTGTTGGTTTTTTATTAAATTTTATTCAGAAATTTTTTTTTCGTTGATCAACGTTGTGGATTTCAACTTGGTAAAATAATTCTATTTTATTCTAGTTTATAATTTTTGTTGTACTAAAGGTAAAGGAAATTAACAAAGAGTTTAAAGAAATTTATAACATTTTTATTTATACTTTTGAAAATTATATTCTAATGAGGTTTCTGTGCTAAGATTCAAGTCAAAACTATCCCAACAGAAGTAATAAAAATAATATCCAAATTGTTAATTACTGTGCGATTAATCAATTTCCTACATACCTAATTGCGTCAAAAAGCGAAAAACATATTTTATTCTTTATATAAGTTAAGTATTAAAAACAATTTATATGTTGGTTCATAAACTTATAAATTGTATCTTGTTGCAATGCAAGTTTGGGAATTGAATTAATCTCAATTATTCTATTTACACCAATCGATTGGACAGTGTAGCAATGATAATAATGATTGAAATACAATGTTTCATATTCAGAAAAGTAGAATAGAATCTCATTGCCCTGGTGAAATATTTCCTTAACAATTCCAAATCTAGGACCTTCTTCAGAGATAACTGACACAAAGACAGTTCCAATAGAAAATTTTTTACCAATAATATCAACATATTTCAAGGTTGTTGTCGGAATTTCTTTAGCATTGGCACAAATTTTTTTTAAATCAATTAAAGCGTTGGAGTTTTTGATAGGTCCGAGAGAAAAATAACTTGAAACATTTTCACAGATTTCTTTCATGTAACAAAGTTGCAATTGGTGGCGAATAGCTACAGAATACGGTAAGTTAATATTGGACGTTGTTGGAAGAGCCATTTCTTTCAATTTTTTATTTTTGCGTTCAAACATGAATGACGAAAAGTGAATAACAGGACCATTCTGAAACATTATGTCCACGTAGTGAACCCACAAATGCATTTTTGGTGTTAAATCACCAAAAGTTTCAATGTACAGTGAATGATGCTTTTGTATCAGGTCTTTGAGGTTTTGAATTTCGCCTTTACTTAATTTTGGAGATGTAACGAAACTTAAGATTTGTCGAAGATACTGATACAATTTCCATGTCTTATTATTTGGTGGAATTAGATCTCCTATCATTAAGCCTAAATATCTTGCAAGGCAAAGCATTTCAGCCGCAGACTGTTTGATTTTGAGTTTTTTACCACCCTTGGTTTGAGTAAAATACAACGGCCTTGGCTTATTAGATTTTTCCGCTTCAGAGTAAGGAAAAGTTTCAATCCTGCTATTGATGACGTCTATATTCAATTCGTCTACTTCTTTGATTAATTGCTTGACACAATTTTCAAGGGAACAAACTACGAAACCTTCAGGACCGTCATGCATAAAATCAACTGCCTGATTCATTGTGATGTCGAAATTCTTTATCATGTTAAATACGCATCTTTCCTTAATGCCTGTTAAGGAGAAGTCATTTATGAGCAAATCTCTTTCATATGTTTCAGTAGTTCTCAAAAGATCTTTAGCTACAACAGTCATTTTTTTGCATTGTGCAGCATTAGCACTACAAATTCTGCAGTAGAAATTTGCATTGAACCCTTCTGTAAAACCGCAAATGCAATTAAGAGCCAAATTATCTCCTAACACTAACACACATTGAAAATAAACTGTGAAAGTTTTTCCGTCAACTGTTACTTCAATGCCATTGTCAGACACATCATTTAAGTCGTTAATACTTTTTCCGAAGATTGCCTTATTTCCAAATTTTTTCAAATCCTTGGCATAACAAAGAGTTAAAACAAATATATTTTCTAATTTGGCTACCAAATGAGGAGGCAAACAAGTGAGTGAGGCAAACAACCCTCCTAATTTTTGTTCCCCCGCGTGACTTCCCAATGCGTTCCCTACTTCGAATTCATCAAAGTAAATAAAAATCGGAAAAACTATTTTTCCCTCATTTTTAAGGCAGTAATTTTCTAACCACAATTTTCCGTTGACGAAATTGGATAAAAAAGTCGTGTCTTTGGATAATTCTTGATAATAATTAGACATTTCATTGAATAACCCTGGCGTTTGGAAAAATGCTTGTAACGTGTCTTTTAAAGGAACTTGGACAGCGTGACATGTTTTTGTGCCAACCTTTACTTCATCTCCTTCGCTAATGAAAACAGACTCCTGTCCAAGATCAAAACTGTTCGGAGCCACATACAAACTTTCATTTTTGTAGATATTGAACCTTAAATGTTCCGTTGAAAATTTGTTAAAAATACGCTTATTATTCTCTAACAAAAATTGAATCCTGTGATAAGATTCAATATCAGCGGCAGCTTTTAAATCATTTTGAACTTGATTTTGTATATAAGGAATTAGAAGGTCAGAAATGAAATCATCAAACATTTTAATTACGTCGTCAACAGCTTTTCTGGAAAGCAGAGGATTGTTATATAATGCTAGGGTAAATTTAAGCATCTCCTTATCTAAAATTGCTTTAGAGTTACTGGCTCCGAAAAAAAGTTCTTTTGAAGAATTCATATTTATGTAAGATATAAGAACACGATTTTTTTTTACATAAAACGAAATTACAAAAATGAAATTAGATAAAAATTTAACACTTCGCAAGATTTTCTTTCAATGACACGACACTTGAATAAGCATTGGCAATGTTCATTTCAAATACTTCAGACTCTAAAAATTGCCAGATGTGGTTACATATGCTCGAATACTTTTCGTGAAACACTTTCATCGACTGGAAGCACAATTTTACAGCTGAAGTTGTAGTCGACAC